GCTGGAGACTTCTTCGCGACCCACTCACAGACAAAGCTCCCGCTTGCGACTCTGGCCCAGATTCAAGCCTGCGGAACTCAAAAATGAGTACACTTACACGTTTCAGATGACCCGCTCGGATTACCAGCATGAGGCGGGGACCCCATCGTGAGGGGCTTCTTCGGGACCCACCAAACTCCGGCCCAGATTCAAGTGAGGAACCTAAAAGTGACGACACTTACACGTTTCAGATGACCCGCACGTATTACCAGCATGAGGTGGGGACCCCATCGGGAGAGGGCTCCCACTTGAGGAGCCCTCGCGATTCACTCACAGACGAGGCTCCTGCTCGAGACGTCCTCAAGATGATGTGTGTGTGTGAGTGTGTCAGTGTGTGTGTGTGCAATGACGATGATGACGATGATGACGATGATGACGATGAGGATGAGAAGGAGGAGGATGAGGAGGAGGTGATGGCGATGATGGTGATAATGGTGGGGATGATGATGACGATGATGAGAATGGTGATGGTGTGATGATAATAGTGATGATGAGTATGGTGAAGACGATGTTGCTGATGATGGTGATGATGATGACGACGACAATGATGATGATGATAATAAGAATTATGATGATGAGTGGTGATGGTGATGATGATGGTGACGCTGATGCTGGTGCGGATGCTGAGGCTGATGCTGGTGATGATGATGATGGTGATCGTGATGATGGTGATGGTAATGGTGATGGTGATGGTGATGCTGGTGATAATTATGACGATGGTGTGATGATGATCCACGCGTTTGAGGAGGTCTGGTGATCGCCGCTGACGGTAGTGATGATGATGATGGTGATGGTGATGATGGTGATGCTGATGCTGATGTTGGTGCGGATGCTGAGGCTGATGCTGGTAATAATCCTGATGATGGTGATGGTTATGGTGATGGTGATGGTGATGTTGGTGGTGATGGTAATGGTGATGGTGATGATGGTGGTGATGGTGATAATGATGGTGATGATGATGAGGGTGCTGGTGCTGATGATGATGATGGTGATAGTGATAGTGATAGTGATGGTGATGGTGATGATGGTGATGGTGATGGCGAGGGCGATGGTGATGGGGGTTACGATGATGATTATGATGTTGATGTTGTTGTTGATGATGATGATGGTAGTGATGATGATGAATTGTGATGGTGATGATGATGATGATGGTGATGCTGATGCTGGCGCGGATGTTGAGGCTGATGCTGGTGATGATGATAATGGTTGTGCTGATCATAATGATGATGATCAGTATCATGATGATGGTCCACGCGTTTGAGGAGGTCTGGTGATCCCCGCTGATGGTGGTGCTGATGATGCCGATGATGATGGTAATGGTGATGTGATGTGATGTGATGTGATGTGATGTGATGTGATGTGATGATTATGGCGGTGATGATAATGCTGATGATGATGATGGTGGTGATGATGATGGTGATGATGATTTGCAGAAGGACGAGAGAGGAGTGGGGGGTGAGGTTGATGTGCGGGGGGGGGGCAGAGAAAACAAGAACCCCACTCAGGATGCGGAAAAAAACGCGACGTAAAGATGTCCCAAAACCTCGCCCTCTGGGACCATGGCTTGCGCCCAAAGGCTATCAAAAAACCGGCCCGCGACGGCGCGTTGAAAAGAAATCGCGACGGCGGAGGTCTGGGCCTATCCCCCTCCCCTCCCCGGGCCCCCCAGAGTGGCCAATCGACCCTGGCCTTCATGTACAAGTTCATGAAGTTCTGGGCCCCGAAGAACAGGAGCAGCTGGCCAGCGGGGGCGGGCAGGAGGAGCGAGCGAGCGTCCGTCCGACGTGCCGCGCTCACCTGGGCGCGAGGGAACAGCCCGTCGCCCCCGAAGCAACGATTCGAATAGCCCCGTGGTGCGGTGATTCACTTGCTGAGCGGTACGATCCTGACGCTCTGCACGCTTCTCGCCACGAGCATCCAAGTGACACCTGTGGGAGCCCACCATGTCTTCTGTGGCCCGGGGGCCTATGTTGTCGGGGGCGCGCAAACATGGAGTAGCGATCCATGGATTTTGCGCGCGGTCGCCAAATCCGCGGATCGGGGGAGGCGCCCTCCCCAAAGTGCGGCCTTTGCCGCCTCGCTCGGCGGCAGAACTCCGCGATTTCCCATGGAAACGGGACCCGTCGCTAATCCACGCCCCATTGATCCATGCTTGCGATCACCTGATTTTGGTGTGCCGCATATCTACCCAAGCCCCTGAGCCTGGCAGCTGCGGGTGAAAGGTGAAAGGCGTCAAAGCTGCCCCTGCGGGCTTCTTGCCGACGGGGGGTCCTGACTCCTCCTCCTCCTCCTCCTCCTCCTCCGCCTCCTCCTGTTCCTCCTCCTCCTCCTCCTCCTCCTCCTCCTCCTCCTCCTCCTCCTCCTCCTCCTCCTCCTCCTCCTCCTCATCCTCATCCTCCTCCTCCTCCTCCTCCTCCTCCTCCTCCTCCTTCTTCTTCTTCTTCCCACAGCCCTGAAGACCAACGTCTGAGGTGTCCACTCATGCATACGTCAGCGGTGAGAAGGGCGGCAAGTATAGCGGGGGACAAGGAGAGCAGCAATGGCCAACATCAACCCGACTCGCAAAATGGATCGAGCGGGGCATAGAGATGGGCAACTGACGCCTCTAACCATGCATCCCTAGGCGGCGTGGGGGCACAGCGTTGCGAGGCGGCCTGGGTGATAACAACAGCGAGGTAACCCCTGGCTGCTGTCAGGAGGGGCCAAAGTCGGTACGGCATTCAAGAACAGGCACTGACGGTCCCCGATTGGCATACAGCTCGACGTGAGTGTCGGAGACAGTGCCGACAGGGAGCGCAGGAACCTGACCTCGGGGACTTTCCACACACAGGGCACATGGGCTCGCGGAGCAGGTGGGTTTAAAGTGAGCAAGGTCGCCAGGCCCGAGGACGCCGCACACAGCGCCAGCGTCAGCGCCGCACGAAGGCACGCACTGTCGAGCTCTAGCTGCCTCCACTCCGAAGGCGACCTAGCAGGAATCCCCCACGGCTCATCGCAGCTCCTCAAAGGCCTGCTTTCCCCACCCTTGGCTTTGCAGCGGGGGGGCGGGGCCCCACGAGGTTAGAGGGGGGTCTGCCAAGAGACTAACAACACGGCCAGACAGGATTAAATTGGCAATGAACAACAGCTCCCTATGAAATCCCTCGACGCAATTCTGGAAAAGTTCGAGGATATTTAATGACAGAACAAAAACGTTCAGCCCCGCCATGGCACTGGAACTATCCGCTCTATCCTGGATGTCGCCTTGACTCCTGGGAGCTGCAATGAGAATCATAATGTACTTAGCGCCAGGGGGCGTGGGCAGGTGGACTACCGCCTGGGTGGGTACCTCTTCCTGGATACACACGGGTTGACAAGATACTCTCGGCATGCTTGAGGGAAGGCCCCTGGAAGCAGCCGCCCCCCTCAACCAGGGGCCTACCGTGAGGACAGGCGGCAGCTGAGCTGACTCCGCATAGTGGCCTTTCCCACGGAGCATGCGAGCTAGCTCCGCGTCCTCGGCCCCCGCCTGCATCACGTGTTCGGGGCTCGACGGGGGAAGAACGGCCATGAGGTCCGCCAGGCACCTCGACGAGCCATGCCGAACGTGTTTGAGCAATCTGAGGTGCGTGTGAAAGTTGAGTCCGCACGCCATGCACACGGCACCTGACACGCAGCTGGGGGCGGGGTCTAGGTGGGGGTGGCACTTCGAACGATGGGAAGCCCACGCGCCCTTGGCGGCCAACACCGCCCCACAATCCAGGCAAGGATACAAGGCAAGGACCGACGGCGAACGAAGAAACGGCGGGAGCGCAAGACCCTTGGAGATGCAGCACCTCCGCCACCCATCTCTGAATTCTTCGTGACGCTGACCGTCCAAAAACTTAGCCCTAGCTGCAGATTCCGCTTGCTTGCAAATTCGCTTCCAAAACTTTTTACCGCTAGATCTCAGGAGCCACAACCACCACGCAGGGGGCCCTGAGGGCTGGAACTCTCTGGCTAGATTCACATGTCTGCTGAGCCACAAGAGGTCATCGCAGCACAATGCGGACCACGATTCGGGCACTGAAGCTAACTCGTCAAGGATCGCCAGCATGCAAGCCGGCGCTGACTTGAGAAGCCCGGGAAGAAATCGCAGCCGCCTAAGCCTCAACACCAGCTCAATGGGCATGAGCTCGCATGCGACGTAGACCCTGTGGTCCGCAGCCGCCTTTCCTGAGGTAGAATCGTAGCCGAGCCCAGCCGCCAACCGAAACGGGCTCAAATAATTGTGCGCCAGGGTCGCCAACTGTTTGACATTTAGCTTGTGCCAAGTAAGGGCGTTAAACAGAAGGTGCGAAGTGCACAGAGAGGTAACATAAATTAGCCTGGCTTTGAAATTGACTTGCCTTCTAGGGAACACCGTGCGCCTCAGCACCCCAAGAGGACGTCGCTGCTGATGGCATCGGCGCGCCAGTTCGGGTCCCAAAGAGATTTGGTGATCCTGATAGCTGCCCAAGTGCTTATAGGTCCTAGTGAGGCAAAGGGAGACGCCCTAGGAAGGAACGAGGAGACCTGTGGCGGCCAGGGCCGCACACTCCCCTCGGGCCTTCCTGGAGCCTGTGCCGCTGAAGAAGGCCATGAGCTCCGTCTTGCCCGCCTTCCAGTTCATGGTGAACCCCCTAGACTTGGTTTCTTCATACATTATCGTAACAAGGGAAATGGCCGCCTCCTTCCAGAACCTAGCGTCTTACAGCTCGATGCCATTGACGAGGTCATCCATGAAGGCAGGGTCCCATACATCCTCTTCTGCATGCTCGTGCTCTCGACGTCTGAAGATTCTCTGAGACGGGTCCACATCCCTGGTCTTCTGGAGATATCCCAGAGCGCCTAGTCTATTATTGACCGCAATTATGATAGGGTCGAAAGCTATGATGAACAGGAGGTCCGCTAATGGCATGCCTGGCCTCGTGCCTAGGCGTGGGGAAACAACCCTAGTGCTCCCCCGTACTTGGAACCAGTTACACTCCATCACGTCAACCACCGCTTCCAAGAGGTGCTTATTTTCGAGCGCGTCCAGGGCGCCAGGCTTGGCGACGAGGGCATGGCAAAGTGGCTCGAGACATCCCGGCACCTCCAAGTCCGTCAGCGCGTTCTGAATGTCCTCACTGTTCTGGGCCATTCTGGCGACAAACCCTCGAATGACCGAGTAGAATGCCGCCTTCAAATCCGTGTACAACGACAGGTATGTGCGCTTCCTAGCTTTGGCTGCCAGCATGGCCGATCGAAGGTGCAAGGATGCAATGTCAGTGCCACGCTGAGGGAGACCTCCCTGCTGGACCACCGACAACATGTGCAACGATGCATCTAGCAATTTGCTTCTGAGGAAGGCATGGTGCAACTTCGCCGTGTAACAGCCTAGCAGGATGCTTCTATAGTGGTCCAGGGGTTCAGGTGATCCAGATTTGCGTAGATCGCATTGCCAACCTCCTTTGAACAGCAGGGGCCCCCTGGACGCCACATCTATCTTCACGAAAGCGGCAACAAGATCTGAGTGCACTCTTGTGGAGCGACCTGGAAGAGATCGTTGCTGAGCCCGTCTGGTCCAGCTCCTCTCCTCTTGGCTGCCTTCATGATGTCATGCTTGGGTCTGCGAAAGGGGGTGATCATGTCCAACTCCCTGGGGTAGACGTTTCCACGCTCGGGGAGGGCATTGTAGCGGTCCACTAATTCCTCCCAGCTGAGTGTCTGTCCGTTCTCGACTACAGCAAAGTAGTCCGTGAGGGCCTCCGAGAGATCTCCAGAAGTGGCCAGAACTTCGCCCTGAGGACCACGGCGGATTCTCAACCCCTCGACCTGGAACCTGGAGCGTTTTCCCCCGTATCTTTGCAGCTGGCACAACACCTCCCATTCCACGCGACTCTCATGGGAAGACCTGGCGCTGCACATCTGCTGCGCGAGGTCGTCTAGCAGCCTATTGCGAGAGTGCTTCAAGGCCCTTCTCAAGGCCGGCTTCGACTTGACCAAGAAACCGATCATGTGCTCGGTGAGCTCGCTCGCCGTCATCCTATGAGTGCCCCATGAGATGAAGGCCTGAAACAGCTCCGAAACCAAGAAGTCCAACTCGAGATCTGCAATGTTCTGGGGGGGGGGGCCGCCTCAAGCGACGCGGCGACCAGCCTCATAACACCGCAAGAGTCCCGCTTGCCCCAGAGACGCCAGGCCTGTCGCACCTGCCTCCTGAAGATAATTACCCCAAGAAGATCCTCAGATACATACGGCTTGATCGGGACCCGTGCAGGTCTAGGGAAGCAAGTTTGGGCACCCACGTACATGTATTGGATAATGTCGTGCAAGTGCTGATTCATGTCAACCTGGCGGGGCACCATGGGGAAAGCTGCCAAGTGCATCCTGAAAGCTGCTGCCTTATCAGGGTCCTGGGTGCCCAACACGTCGAAACCAAGCTGCCCCTGCGCCGCCTTGGTGGAGCCCTGGGACTCGAAGCGCAAAAAGACAGGGTAGTGATCTTTGCCAATGCAGAAGGAACCGATGTCATATCGAACCTGGTGTTGGTCTAGTGCGGGAATCATGCTCTGCTCAACCGCTATATAGTCGACTATATGTGGGGTCTCGGACTTAGACGTGACGAACGTGTAGGAGTCCTGGCTAAGGGAGGGGACGAGTGCGTTGGCGGCGGCCATCCCCGTCTCCAGGAGCATGTCGTGAAAACAACCCTCCCGACTCGTCCTCGTCCTGCCTGTATCCCACCCTTCCCACTGCGTCCGACACGATGCTTCCGAGCCTGGTATTCGCGCCCAGGAAAGCCAACTGTACCTTCCACTTGCGGCAGATCCCAATGAGGTCCCGCCACCACTGTTTCCGCTGCTGAGGGGCATACTCGCCCCCATTGCGCAGCGCATGTGCAACTAATATGACCTTTCGAAAGAGTGGGGCACAACAGCCAACCACCAAGTGCCTCTGGGTAGCATACAGCGGCCTGAAATGTGTTTGTTCAAAGTACAGGTCTTCCTCCCCGCGTCGCCCGTAGGGCAGGTGCAATGAGGCCCAGAGCTCCACGCCCAAGTTTTTGCCACTATCAGATCCCGAGGAAAGCACAAAGTAACCAGCAGAGCATCTTTGTACCGATGGATTTCGCGCCTCCTGGACCCCAACAATGCGACAACGCTCCTGTGCGAACTGCATCATGAGAACCTCGCCCGATGTTTTGGCGCGTCTTGCAGCCGTGGCCTCCGCATCCCTGCCCGTCTTGACGCTGAAAGTGGCGAGCCTCACACTGATGCTAAACTGGCTGGATTTGGGGGCCGACTTCTGCGAGGGTTGGGAGTCGACAATCTCCTTTAGCGTCTCCATCGACACTTGAGGGCGCCAAGGATACCGAAAGGAGTTATCTGGGCCTACTGGATATGCAGCACGTGTGGTCAACGGTGCCTCCTTAAGGCACCACCACTCGAGGTCGTTTGTGCATTTGAGAACCTCGCGCAAGGCCGGCGGGGGTGAACACCCAACCGCTCGGTCCGGTCCGATCCGCTCCGTCCAACCGCTCGGTCCAACTCATTCCGTGGATGTCCAGAGTGACCGCACACATGCACAAGCATAGTACCATGTCTCCTGCGCGCGCACTGGTACACATGATATGTAAGCCAGGCCAGGTGCAGGTTACCCGACGGGACCTCCAAACCCAAGGAGATGTTGACAGCCGACTGGCTGTCGCAAGAAATGACCAATGTTGGGGGGGAATGCACCGTGTTCGGTCCGAAGAAGCCCAAGATCCAGATCCCCATGAGCTCGATAGTCGTGCTAGTGATATCATCCTTTTCAAACTGCAAAGCTGTGGATTCCCATGCGCACATGTTTTGCCAGCCAAGGAAGCTCACCGCGTCGCCAGGCGAGACCGCGACAGCTGCGAAGGCCCAGGCCGAGTCCCTGAGCGTCTTTCTGTACGAGGCGTCGACATAGATATGTACTGACCGTGCTCTATGTGCCCCGCGCGCTGAAATACCCAGAGCAAACTTAGCAGTGCGATGCAAAGGGGTGTCTCCAAAATCGCCATTGCAAAGCTCAAACCAGTTGATGTTCTGAAGTAAAACCTGATATATCCTGTCCGCCTCCTGAAAACCACAGTGACCACTGCCATTCCTTGCAGGATTCTGGAAAAGTAAGGGGTAAAGGCGCAGGGAAGTGATGCACCCCCACCCTCCCTCAAGGCCAGCACATTCCCCCCAGCAACTGCTTCGAGCTGCTCCCTGGATGGGGCGGGGTGCGACGGCAGTGGAGGGGGGTCTGGCACAATCGCAACTGCAATTGACGTTTGGGTGGCCTCGTGTCCTAGCTCAGCAGGCACAGCGCGCTGCAATTCGCGAGGACGAGGCTGAAAAAGATGTTCCTTCGAGGTCTTGCCCCGCAAGCGATACCTCGTTCGGCCGTTGGGCCGACTGGAAGATGAAGGTGAGTCCTCAATGGCATCACCTGAAGTGGCGGCCGAAGAGGTGGCATTACCTGTCTGCGAATTCTCATAACCATGACCCTTGGACGAGAGATCCGCGGCAGGGGCCGACCTAAGAATCGGCCTAGTGAAACAAGTCCGAGAAAGCGCACCCCTGGCTTGTCGGACAATTATCGGTGCATGCGTGCCAAAGCGCCTCACTTCGACTGGGCCCCAAGAGACCCTGCTGGGGCCTACAGGTTGGACCCGTCTTCCAGCTCATACCCCTGGCACTGCATCTTCTTGGGGGGGGACCTGTTGGGCGAGTCCCCCATGTTCTCCTCTTTGTTTCCCTCCTCGAGCGGTCGAGTCCTCGAGGCCGCAGGAGGTGCCTCCTCTGCTGCTGCCGCTGCTGCTGCCGTCGGTCCCGCCGAGGCCGCCGCGGCCGGCGCTGAGGGGGCTGCCGCTGCCTGCGGGCGAGGCGCCGCGGCCGACGATGCTGCTGCCCAGGCTGGGGGAAACAGCGTCACAGGCGCTGGCTGCGGGGGGTCCACTGGCGACCCAGGCGAGCGCTGCGTCGGCGGTGGCGTGTGGGAGCGCTGCGTCTGACTGGTCAAGTCGATGGAGGCCCCCTGGATGTGCTGCAAGAGGTGAACTGGCCCTGGGATCATTTCCTCCGCCATCATTGGCTGTGTCGGAACCAACAACATGGGGTCGATCGGCATGACCTCCTCCTGGACTCCCTCCTCTGCAGCTCCGCTGTCACTCTGGAAACGCCCATTACCTTCGGGATGTCTGGGACCGCCTTCTCCTCGGCCTGGGCCCTCGTCTCGGCTGCCGCGCCGAGGTTGGGGGCTCTGGCTGGCGTCGGCGATGCCGACTGCCTCTTCGGTGGCGGCGTCTTTGCCACAGGGCCCTCTGCCGAGCACGATGGTGCCGAGCCTCCGCACGGGTCCTGGACGATCTTCGCCATGTTCGCGCTGCTCTGGGGAGGCGCCCTCGGCCCCATGGCTGGCGCTGAGCCTTGGGGGGCTGCGCCAAAACCTGGCGCAGTCAGGGCGGCATCTCTCGGCATGCACTCTGGCGCCAACCCCTGATGGTCAGGGGGGCTCGTGCTGGGGTGCGGGAGTCCCGTGATCACTGCCCGCTGCGCCTGCTGAATCGTCTGCGCGTCCATGAGCACATCTCCTGCCGTTGCGCCGATGCCGACTCCCAAGACCCTGGCCAGGGCGAAAGCGTGGAAGTTCTGGCCCGTCTGCATCCTCGAGAGGTGCTCCTGGATGGCCTGCTGCTGGGCCTGCACGGTTTTCATCTGCTCCGTCATCGCTGTGATGGCCGCTGCCGTTGGGCCGTCATCTCCCGCACCCCACGGGCCATTAGGCCTGGCGCCGCGGGGGCTGGCGGGCTCTGGCGCCGTCGGCGCTGCTGCAGCTGCGGCTGCCTGGCCGCGCGTCGCCCCAGAGGCCGCGCGCGGGGCCGCCTTCTGAGGCGGCTGGTACATATACTTCTGCTGCTGTGGCTGGTTAGGCATTGGCGGCGGCGGCGGCGGCACTCTGTTCGCTATCGCCTCCGCCGCGGCCTTGGCTGACTGAGCCTTTGCCTCTGCCTGCGCTGCCGCCCTCTCGGCCGGCGCTTGCACCCATGGCCTCTGGGCGCTGCTGGCGGCCCTGAGGCCGTGCTCGCTTCCTCCTGGCGGGGCCATCAGCCAGTCCTCATCGTGGTCTGGCGCGTCCTCCGCTTCACGGAGCTGCTGGATGGAGTTCTGCAGTTTCTGCACCATCAGGCAGAGCGTCGCCTCCTCGTCCAGCAGCTCCTCGACCTTGGTTCGGATCTTGCCGAGCCTCTCCTTGGCGCTGATGAGCTGGGCCTTCAGCTCATGCAGCTGCTTCTCCGAGCCCTTGCTGGCGCCAATCATGTACTTGAGCACGCCGATATCGAACTCCAGGGCAGGGTCCTCCTTCCCTGCGTCACGGACCGCGACGAGGAGGTTGGCAAACTTCTGGAGCTTCGACTGGGCCTTCGACTTGTAGATCTTCAGCTCATCCGCCTCTGGCGGCGGTGGTTCCCACACCGTGATGTTAGCAATCGCTTCATCAGGTGCTGCAACTGGAATCTGCGCAATCAGTTCCCTGATGCTGGCGGACTTCTTCTGGTCCCTCATTCTGCTGGCAGAACGTCTGGTGGGGTCGGGGCGAGGAGCCCACACGTTGCCGCAAGAGCAAGTCCACAGAGAGTTCGGATTCCTGGTCTCACACTGCCTGCATGTCCACGTGCCTCCTCCCATCGCGCTGTGGTGCGACTCGAGGAGGCGCTTGGCCTGGAGCACGCTGAGGAGCAGCCGAGCTCGCCCCCGCTCTGCTCGCTGCCTCTTGTGCCAGGCCGGCTCGGGGGAGCCTCTGCGGCGCCCCGAGCGCGCCGTGTGTCGCGCGCGCCCTCTGGTGCTCAGCCGCGGGCCTGGCCGCGGGAGCGTTCGCGAGAAAGTGTCGCGAGGGGGGCGCGGCGCCTGAGCCCTGTGCTCCGCCAAAATGGCCTGAGTCCTCCTCCTCCTCCTCCTCCTCCTCCTCCTCCTCCTCCTCCTCCTCCTCCTCCTCCTCCTCCTCCTCCTCCTCCTCCTCCTCCTGGTCCTCCTCCTGGTCCTCCCGAGCCACGACAGGCGCGGAGGAAGGGTGAGACGGAGCGGCTGGGACGGCGGAGGCGTCTCGCAGCCGTGCGCGCCCCTGCCCGAAGAGAGCCCCCCGCGTGGCTCCCCCGGGAGGCCCGCACCCATCGCGCCCCCTGCCCGAAGGGAACCCCCCTGGGAGCTCCCCCCTCCCGCCCCCGCCTGCTCAGAAGCAATCCTCCCCTCCCCTCCTCCGCCTCCCCTCCCCTCCCCTCCCCCCCCTCCCCCTCCTCCTTTTCCCCCTTCTCCTCCTCCTCCTCATCCTTCTCCTCCTGCTCCTCCTCCTCCTCAGCCTCCTCTTCTTAGCATTAGTTGTATTAGTCGCCTTCTTCGTATTAATCTTATGCTAATAACACGATGAGTCGCATTAGTATTATTATGATTAATATGCACATTATTCATATTAGTACTAGCAGTTGTATGGTTCGTCCCGTCTGTCAGTTAATGAGTTGCTTTCTTTCGAAGTATGACA